TGGAGGGTTAAAAATAGGGGAAGGCTATTCAGTCATGCGCGAGGGTCTGGACGGAGTTTGTGGAGAAGGGAGGGGTGGGAATAGCAGGCAGGTGTCAGGCGGCACGACATATCTGCCAGAGCTAAAAACGCAGGCCAAGCCAACTGAACAGTGCTGATATTCTTTCCCAGAGGCTTATGACTTAGAAGCAACGCAGGTGTCGGGTTGGCTGCGAGTGACTATTGAGGCATTAAGCATAACTCCGAACTCTGTAAGTTCGGTTAGAAAGGCTTACTTACGTAGGGTTTTATGTACTGATTGCCAACTTGTGAATGCGCGTTTTTTTTTCAATTTACACAAAAAATCAGTTGATTTTGGATTTCCTTATAGACCCGAAATCACTTAGTAAATAGCGTACATGTAATTATTCTCTGGTTCCAATCTGTGTTAGTAAATTAATGTTTCTTTAAATTTTGTCATTCTACAAAACGATTTGCCCTTTTTGGCAAAGTCTCCCGACTTCGTTTAAATACTACCTGCTGTCACGTTTGTATTTGGAAATTCCAACCTACAAGCTACAAACATCCTCTGTAAGGGGAAGCATACATCCATCTAGGTCCTAAAGGAAGCGCTATATATAGCTTATAAAATAGGAATATGGCCGTAGATGAAGCTGTACAATAATAATACAGACACGATGATGGTAGGGCAGACATTTTACGGTCTTAAAATATCCTATAATTACCAGTTTTTCTAACCATAACTCGTTTTACATAACACACAAGTTACTGCAGAATGAGTATACGAAAGGCTGTTTTCGTGCATGTTCTCTATAAAAGGTTCCATTTTTTTCTAGAGCAGAGTAAATGAATTAAAATTCCATGCTACTTAAGTTGTTAATTAAAAAAGGTATGCCTCCAAAAATCGATACCATGGCAAAGCTGAAATATTTTGGGATTATGCTGCATTCTAGTCAATATCCCATCTAAGATATTTTCCGACCGAAATTGATGTTTTGAATTTTAATTTAACGAGTTGCGCTGACGAAGGTACGGCAATGGATCCATACTGCCTGAATATTTCACTCTCATTTGAAATTTATGTCAAACCCTTTGCTTATGCGTTTATCCTATCTGAGCGACCCATGCTATAAATTTGACTTTTTCGCTTCTAAATATGGTGGAAGGTAAAGCAAAACCTCACAGGTATATCCTGTAGTAGCCGAGTTTGTGAAGTTTAACTCTTCTATGAGGTTCAGCTTGCCAGCTACTGGGTTGCTGGACTGTTCGCTTAAAATACAATACTCCCAAACACGACACCGCCAGTTAAACCAACTTTTCGCCAATTTCTACTAGACTTTGTAAAGCAGGATGCATTGCTCTATGTTTAAATCAAGCAGCTTGTCGGCTCCAAATTTGATTCATACAATAGTGAAACTTTCAAAAAAAATGATTTGTATTTGCCGCCTGAGGCTTCGTGTAACAGGTACGTCAACGGGTAGGAGTGGCTTCCTTAATAATGCAAGAGCGACGGTCCCAGAAGCGCTTTTTAACCACTGCGCAAATGGGAGCAGAATATCCACTTTCCACACATCGCGTGGAATCGCAAAATCATTTTGGACGTCCGACCTAAGTTAGTTTTCCTTAAGTCCAAAGTATCGTGAGAAATGGTAGATTCGGAGGTTTGGT